TAATGCATGAAATGCTACTATTTAAAACAGCTAATACATACAATCTATCATGGGTTAATTGAAAATAAATTACTATTAGAATTATTCTTAGTGTATTTATTTGTATCATGATTTATTGTAATGCAAAAAATTCTTACTCGCTGTAGAGGTGTCAAAAGCATGTGGGTTAGTTAGAATTAACGTTTGTTAGAGTATTTATTTGTATCATTATTTACTGTAACAAAAAAAACAGTAAAGAACTTACAGACTACATAGGTGACAAAAGTATGTGGATTAGTTAGAATTAACGTTCGTTATAGTATTTATTTATATCATGATTTACTGTAAAAAAAAGAGAAACTTACGAGCTGTAGAGGTGACAAAAGTATGTGGATTAGTTAGAATTAGCGTTCGTTAGAGTATTTATTTATATCATGATTTACTGTAAAAAAAAAGAGAAACTTACTCGCTGTAGAGGTGACAAAAGTAAGTGGAGTAGTAGAATTAACGTTCATTAAAGTATTTATTTGTATCATGATTCATTGTAACAAAAAAAAAAACTCACGAGCTGTAGAGGTGACAAAAGTATGAGGATTAGTTAGAATTAACATTAGTTAGAGTATTTATTTGTATCATGATTTTGATTTACTGTAAAAAAATAAAGAAAAACTTACACGCTGTATAGGTGACAAAAGTATGTGGATTAGTTAGAATTAACGTTGTTAAAGTATTAATTTGTATCATGATTTACTGTGATAAAAAAAAAACAGTAAAGAACTTACGCGCTGTAGAGGTGACAAAAGTATGTGGATTAGTTAGAATTAACGTTCGTTAGAGTATTTATTTATATCATGATTTATTGTAACAAAAAAAAAAACTTACTCGCTGTAGAGGTGACAAAAGTACGTGTATTAGTTAGAATTAACGTTCGTTAGAGTATTTATTTGTATCATGATTTATTGTAACAAAAAAAAAAACAGTAAAGAACTTACCGACTACATTGGTGACAAAAGTATGTGTATTAGTTAGAATTAATGTTCGTTAGAGTATTTATTTGTATCATGATTTACTGTAACAAAAAGAACAGTAAAGAACTTACTTGCTGTAGAGGTGACAAAAGTATGTGGATTAGTTAGAATTAACGTTCGTTAGAGTATTTATTTGTATCATGATTTACTGTAACAAAAAAAAAACTTACAGACTACATAGGTGACAAAAGTATGTGGATTAGTTAGAATTAACGTTCGTTAGAGTATTTATTTGTATCATGATTTACCGTAACAAAAAAAAACTTACTCGCTGTAGAGGTGACAAAAGTATGTGGATTAGTTAGAATTAACGTCGTTAAAGTATTAATTTGTATCATGATCTATTGTAACAAAAAAAATAAATTTACGAGCTGTAGAGGTGACAAAAGTATGTGTATTAGTTAGAATTACGTTAGTTAGTGTATTTATTTATATCATGATTTACTGTAACAAAAAAAAAAATAGTAAAGAACTTACAGACTACATAGGTGACAAAAGTATGTGTATTAGTTAGAATTAACGTTCGTTAGAGTATTTGTTTGTATCATGATTTATTGTAACAAAAAAAAACAGTAAAGAACTTACCGACTACATAGGCAACAAAAGTATGTGGATTAGTTAGAATTAACGTTCGTTAGAGTATTTATTTGTATCATTATTTACTGTAACAAAAAAAAACTTACGAGCTGTAGAGGTGGCAAAAGTATGTGTATTAGTTAGAATTAATGTTCGTTAGAGTATTTATTTGTATCATGATTTACTGTAAAAAAACAATAAAGAACTTACCCGCTGTAGAGGTGACAAAAGTAAGTGGATTAGTTAGAATTAACGTTCGTTAGAGTATTTATTTGTATCATGATTTACTGTAACAAAAAAAAAACTTACTCGCTGTATAGGTGACAAAGGTAAGTGGATTAGTTAGAATTAACGTCGTTAGAGTATTTATTTGTATCATTATTTACTGTAACAAAAAAAAAAAAACTTACTAGCTGTAGAGGTGACAAAAATATGTGTATTAACGTTCGTTAGAGTATTTAGATTTACCGTAACAAAAAAAAAAAACAATAAAGAACTTACGAGCTGTAGAGGTGACAAGAGTATGGGATTAGTAATAAATTTTAAATCCTAAAATTTACAAGTGCACATTACACTTACAATGTTTTAACTAACTCGTGGGCTTTCGTTGCCCATTCGTCACCAGGTTTAATTTTCAATAATTTCTTCAAGTCAGCAATTGAATTATCATATTTTTTCATCATATAATAAATTTCTCCCCGAAATCTTAGTAGTTTTATATTATCTGGTTCAATTTCTAGCAGTTTATTTAAAGCTTCAAGTGCTTTATCATATTCTCCCATAAGAAAAAATATTTGTCCTTGACTATCTTTCTTTTTTTCTAATGATATTGTTGATTCACCTGTCAAATTGACAAGTATATTCCCATTTTCGGCCATAATAAAATGAAACTTTTCTTGATATTTCAATATTAATATATTACTTGGCTTTTCACTAATGTCTTCATTGGTCATTGCTGTTAATTGAAATAAGGTTAAATTCTAAAAAAAGCTAAACTGAATAAATTCTTAGACAAGTTACCGGAATATTTGAACGTTTCACGGCCAAAATTTACTTCTACGGACCCGCCTTGTGATCTAAATCCAACACATGGATATATAATGCCTTTGAAATCATCAGGAAGATGGCATGCAATTCCTTAAAATATGTCATATATATTACTTCTTTTGCTTTGTGAAGTATAAAGCTTAATTTATAAAATGTTAAATTACCTAAGTTGACTCCATTTTTAGTATAAAATACCATCTTCTTCATGAAGTTTAAATAGCATCCAATAATGTCACCAGTAGTATATCCAACTGGATATAATGAATCATACAACTCGCCACTTCCAGAGCAAAATGTATATCCATCGTCACCATGATAACCACACCCCCACAATCCATTTTTCTCTTTTTCCTTATATTCTTGTCCTGAGGAATATTATGTATGAAATTTGATATTAATTTATAATAATAGAAAATATAATAAAATCTACTATTACCTGGCATAAGCATGTCACATATATATATTGATTTTACATTTGAATCGGCTATTTCTTTATCGTTTTGCTTTGTACAATATCCAACTCCAATCATTCTATCAATAATTAAAATTAAAGGTTTATAGAAATATTGTAAGAACAAAGCTAATATTATTAGCATACCTATTTTTTCCTTCATCCGTAATTTTAATTTCAAAGTAAAATATCCCACACTCCAAAGGAATTGGATTATTTGCTCGAATTATAATAGCTTTATTTGGATCAGGATCTTTAAAAGTTTTTTAATAAATTAGTTGAACTATCAACGATTAACGCTCATAAATTCTGAATTTTAATATGTTTTGGGCATATCTAATATTCATCTTACCTGTATAACTCACTTTAGATCCACTTGAATCTATGTTAATAAATGGTGATTTATTTTCAATCTCCCAAGCATTCGGTAAAACAATATCATCGAATGGTGTTGGCAATTCTAAATCTTCCATTGAATTAAATTCCAGTGATTTTTTAATAAATTCGACGAAAGCTAACGATATCTGATTGAAACGTTGGTTTTGTACATAGTACGGTAGTACTGTACAAGCACATCAGCTCTAGAAATGGAATATGTACTATTTATTCCCCGCAGCGGCGGGAATAAGAGGTAAATCCCCAGTCAGCCGGGGGCCCGAAGGGCCCTCGGTTGATTGAGATTTACCGGTTTATTCCCCCGTAGCGGGAAATAAGGGTGTTATTCTTCGTTTTATATGACGTCATGACGGCGTTTTTCGACTCGAATAACTTTAGTCAGTACAGCATGGTTAAAAATCCTATGATTGGCTAAATGATAATAAATAAAAACAATACAAGAATTATCCAATCCAATTTCAGATCTGGTCAAAATTCAGATCCGAAATTGGATTGGATAATTTTTTTATATCGTTTATATTGTTTCTATTTATTATCATTTAGCCAATCAGAGGATTTTTAACCATGCTAGTCAGTACGACCAAAAAAATGGCTATAGAAAGATAATTGCGAACCTAATTTTTGCTTTAATAACACAATCATATTAAAGGAATTTAAAAAACTTCGTTTTTAATTATAATGATACTATTACGCTGACTAAGAGAATTACAAAAGTTCTTTGCTCTAAATAGCTATCGTGTTCTATCAAGAATTTTAAGATCTTCATTTAAGTAGTACTATTGTAACGGCTAACGGATTTTAAAACCTTCGTCAAGGATAAACCATTATGCAAACTAAAAAGAATTATCTTCAAATCTTATAATATAAAAAATTAAAGTTAACCTGGGGAAATAACAACTATTGCTTTAAAATTGGTTGCTTTTCCTGATTAAAGCAGTGATTATAAGTCGAAAAACCCCGTCATGCGATCATATATAAACGTGGAATAATTATACCTTAAATTTAAACTAATTTTTATAAGCGTTTATCCAAGAGATTATCCAAGAGTAAGTGATACTGTAAGTGAGACCCCGTAATAAAAGTGGATGGCAAAATAATCTTAATATATCGATATAACATTTTTAGTACGTAGTATAGTTTTATTGCTATATAGTTAATAATAAATAACCTTTATCTATTTAGTACATATAAAATGTTTTTTCGATACTGTTACAGATTAGCAGCACCATTAGCAATATCGCATAAAAAAATCATTCGACAATTTCTGTGCGTGTGAATGCTTTTCCTTTTTTAGTTTTTAGTATCTAGTGTACGTATTGTTTATTTCAACGAACTGGGGGATCTCCCCAATGATCCTATGACCATTTTGTGGGAAATGTTTATTTCTGCGAGTGATACAAACTAACAAAAAAATTAGTTACGTAGGATATTAAATCATGAGAATTCGGCTAAAAATTGTCATGATATAAAGTTTATAAATCGCAAAAGTTTTTACGTATATTAGATTCAAAAATTAAAAAAAAATGAGTATTATAATCGGACCCGCGATAGCTGTTGTAACATCATTCTTAGCATTAACTGTAGTTTTATTGTCATTTATCGGACTAGAGAAATTTGAGCTGCCTATTGCGGCAAATTCTACATTAACCGGATATCCAACATGGCATCCTGATGTTCCAGGTTTACTAATGTCTTTGAAATTTTTTTTATCGTGTTAATATAGCATCAATTTGGATTTTAATTTTAATCTCTTCAATGTATATATTAATTTTATCTTAATATTAGATCTCGATGAGAATCGCTTCAATACAATCTTGTTATTTTCTAACTTGATATGCTTTTTCGCTAGTATCTTTGGTTTTTATTGGGCATTTTACCCTCCTCAAGATAAACGTCTTATCTCCCATTTTTACGAAAATAATACAGTGGTCACATCTACCCGTCATTTTAATTTACTTTTAGCAAATTATATCTTCTTTACATGGCTCGCTTACGTAGCTTATTTGATCCTTGATGTTGGGAAATTATGGTCCCCAATTGGATTATTATATAATGTTGCAGAGATTTCGTTATTAGCATGTATTCATTATGGTGGAAAGATTACTGCGATTAAGTATTGGGCATGGGTACTTAGATATGTGGTTATAGTAATCATTGGTTGCGTATGGTTGGATTTTCCTTATGATGCATTTTGGTATCAGTTACAAGGTATACATATATCGTATTTGTGCGAAATAACGTCCGGGCGTTATTTCGCGCAAATAACGGTAATAATTCTGTTAAGAATTTTTTTTAATTCGAGATATATAAATTATAAAATAATTGAATCATTATTTCATTATTTCATTATTTCTATGAATAGGTCAAAGTATACAGGTGGCACTCGTAATTACTTTCTTTCGTTTGTACTTTACCACTCGTAGAAAACTTCACGAACATGAAAGTAGCCTTCCAATAAATATTGAACGTGAAAACCCAGAGCCAAGTGATCCACCAGAAGATGCTATTCCACACGAACCTAGCTCTGAATATCCACTTCCCTTAAGTTTCTTACCTCAACCAAAACAAATTGTAACTTTGATTGTCGCTTCAAGTGTTCATCTTTTTGGTGATTCTATATTTGTAATATTTCTGAATCATCCTAACGCGTAAGTACACTATTTTTATGTAAAAAACATTATAGAAATGATTTGTAAAAACACTTAAATTTATTTAATTTTCTATCTTTTAATTACTAGTTATCTATTGAGTGCTTTAAGTTATGCATTATCATATGGAATTTTCGCTTACTACATTTGGTTAGATACTCATTGTTATAGAATTTTACCTAGAAAACGTATTTATGCTCCTGAAACAAGTACCTGGAAAGTTATTTGCATTACTATCTTTTCGGTTACAATGGCCCTTGTAATTGCTAGGCTTAGCTTTTTGGTATTGATGTTAGAGAAACGTTAACTTCTTTGGATAAAATGATTCGGGAATGAAGAACCGTCCTAGTAGCTTACGTCATAATTAAAGCTCAGAATTAATAATGACAACAACGAAGTGCTATTTTTTAATAGCGAACTTAATACAGAATAGTGACTAATAAGAAATTTATTATAAGAATGGCCAATTCGGTTTATTATAAAAATGTATTAACCAGTATAATTATTATCATATATATAAAGAATAAAGCAATTACGTAACAGTATCTAACATGGATACAGTGCATATAAAATAATAATAATTTGTCCAAATTTAACGTTAAAGTTCAGCGATATGGTTGAAGATATTTTTATTTCAGCCGCTGCTAAGTGTTTAATAAAAATAAGTGCATAGTGATGTTAGATTATTATTATATACATGTAATTCTTTAAAAAAAAACAAATTCGATCAACCCTTTATATAACGAACAGACGATTCTGAAAAAAAAAGTTTATTATAAAACTTATTATGTTTCTCTATACCGAGCTATCATGAAATTTAAATTTTTGATTTTGCACATTGATTCTTTGCTTTAATTATGATGTAAGTTACATTTTTTTATGAGAGATACTAGGATGGTAGAGTTTATCAAATTTTATTTCTACATATCTACATAGTGCTCTTATTTATTTTTAAAAATAATGTATCTTATTTAACAGATTATCGAGTAAGTGTATAATACTTTTTAGCTAGGGTTGGATCGGTCCTGAGAAGACAGGTTAAGGACTAGTCTTTTTGACCGGCTACACAGTTTTCGGTTTTCAGTCTTTTTAATCAGTTCAGACCGGTTAATGACAAACTATTAAAATAAACCTACAAATTATTAAAATAAGCTTTTTAAAAAACTATACCCTTTTAAATAGTTAAAAAAAACATTATTACAAGATTTTTATTTTGATAATGATCGCTAAAATTGAACCGATAGGGCCGATAGATACTATAGTTCTATCACTAATATATAGTTAATAACGATAAGAGTTTAAAAGTAATATCTTGATCTTTACGTATACAGTAACACTATATTTATTCGTTACGTCAAAAGTCAGCAGCTTTATAGATACAAATATCGTATGTATAAAAAATCATTCGACATTTTGTAAATTCTTTTCCTTTTTTGGTAGTGTATAAAGGAGTAATACAAACAAAAATTTTTAGTTAGAACATTAGGATTGAGTTAAAGTCTATTAGTTAGTATTCATGGTCATAGGAAAAATAATGAATTACTGCAAGTAAAATGTTATCATCATTATTTTTAATTAGTGCTATAAGGCAAATTTAAACATTCGTTTTTTGTACTTTCGTTGTTTTTTTAGTTTTCTTCGCTTTACACACGTGTAAAGCTAGTTCGGCATAAATTTACGCTCTCACTCGCACAAAAAGTTCACGCCATTTTATAAATCATGAGAATTCGGCTAAAAATTGTCATGATATAAAGTATATAAATCAAACTTTTTTACGTATCTTAGATTCAAAAATTAAAAAAAAATGAGTATTATAATCGGACCCGCGATAGCTGTTGTGACATCATTTTTAGCATTAACTGCAGTTTTATTGTCATTTATCGGACTAGATAGATCTGAACTGCCTATTGCGGCAAATTCTACATTAACCGGATATCCAGCATGGCATCCTGATGTTCCAGGTTTACTAATATCTTTATCGTGTTGATATAGCAGCAATTTGGATTTTAATTTAATCTCTTCAATGTATATATTAATTTTATCTTAATATTAGATCTCGATGAGAATCGCTTCAATACAACCTTGCTATTTTCTAACTTGATATGCTTTTTCGCTAGTATCTTTGGTTTTTATTGGGCATATTACCCTCCTCAAGATAAACGTCTTATCTCCCACTTTTATGAAAAAAATACAGTGGTCACATCTACCCGTCATTTTAACTTACTTTTAGCAAATTATATCTTTTTTATATGGATCTCTTTCGTAGCTTTTATAATCCTTGATAGTGGGAAATTATGGTCCTCTATTAGAATATTAAGTACAGTTGCGGAGATTTCGTTATTAGCATGTATTCATTATGGCGGTGAGATTAAGTCGATTAGGTATTGGGTATGGGTACTTAGATATTCAATTATAGTAGTCATTGGTTGCGTATGGTTTGATTTTCCTTATGATGCATTTTGGTTTCAAATACAAGGTATGCACATAATAATTCTGTTAATACTTTTGTTAATACTTTTGTTAATACTTCTGTTATATCAATCATAAAATTATTTTTATTATTCCTATGAATAGCTCAAAGTGTCCAGGCGGCTCTTGTGATCACTTTCTTTCGTCTATATTTCGCTACTCGTAAAAACCTTCACAACCATAGGAGCAGTCACCTTATAAATACTGAACATGAAAATCCAGATCCCAATGTTCCACCAGAAGATTCTATTCCAAATGAACCTAACTCTGAATATCCACTTCCCTTAAGTTTCCTCCCTCAACCAAAACAACTTGTGGGGTTGATTTTCGCTTCAAGTGTTCATTTTTTGGGTGATTCTATCTATGTATTGTTTCCGAATCATCCCAGTGCGTAAGTACACACTATCCTTATTTAAAATCATTATAGAAACGAATTGTAAAAATATTTAAATTTATTTAATTTTCTATCTTTTAATTACTAGTTATCTATTGAGTGCTTTAAGTTACGCATTATCATATGGAGTTTTCGCTTACTACATTTGGTTAGATACTCATTGCTATAGGATGTTACCTAGAAAACGTATTTATGTACCTGAAACAAGTACCTGGAAAGTCATTTGTATTACTATCTTTTCTATTACAATTGCCCTTGTAGTTACAAGGCTTAGTTGGTTTGTGTTAATGTTAGAGAAACAGTAACTTTTTTTTTGATTCAGAAATTAAGCGAAAGTTTATCAATTTTTATTTCTAATACTGTACTTTTATTCACTTTTAAAAATATTTGATTTATTTTTTAAATATATATTAACTGCACAAGAAATATGTATATCTTTATAATTGGATTCATTGTATAAATTTAAAAAAATTAAATACATTAAACTCACATATATATATGGTTCTTTTAAACTTTTACAAATACACAATAAAAAAAAAATTTCACTCTAACAGTCTTATAATGCAATTGTTTTTTTTTTCTAAATGTTAATCTGGAGAAGATTTCCATACCACTAGTAAACAGGTGATTTTTTTATATTAGTCATCTTATTAAGCATGATACACCAACTTGATATATTTGAATTAAAATATAATTACACAAAATTTTACAGATTAACTTGCAATTAAATAAATATATTTAATATTTGAAGATTTATAGAATATATTTATCAAAAAAAATTAATTAATTTTTGATTAAATATTGTTTAAACAAATCTCAAAGTTGATCAATTTTTTTAAAAAAAATTTAAAAAATTAAAATTTTTTAATATATTTCTAAATTAACCAATAATAATTGAGTATTTTTTTGTGCTACTACGCAATTATTTTGGTGTAACCTTTGTGTATAAACTTGTAAAATTTTAACTATAATTATTATGTAAAAAAAAAGTTAAAATAAAAAGAAAATTACCTATTTAAATTAGTTTACTATATAAAAAATTAATAATTTTATATAGTAAAATTAATAATA